TTCCCCTGATTTAAAAAATTTGTTTTAAGGGTTGTATATTTGGGGATGTATGGGAAATTTTCCCATATTTCCCCCGTAAATCCAAGGGAAATTTTCTAAGAGTTTTTATATTTATAGGGACGGCCCAAACCCTTTCCAGCTTTAAAGGGTTATTTTTGGGGCTGGGGGCCAAAACCTTGGCGAAACAACATGCCCTAAATAATTTTAACTGAGACCCAAAAAAATTCCCCCACTTGGAAGGTTTACCCCGCCAATTTTGTCACCCCGAGGTTTTTGAAAAACCCCACTCTCCTAGGGAAAAAGTTTCCCCAAAAATTTGGAAAAAATTTTTAAAATGTCATCTAAAAAATTAAAACTTCTTTGGAGTTAAAAAACAAAGCTGAAAGAGGGAGTTTTTTTTAATCATAAAAAACCCCCAAGTTTTTAAAAAGTTTAGCTTATCAAAATTTGCTCCAATTTTTCCATATTGCAGAAAGGGGAAAGGGCTTTTTAGAAAAATTTTCCAAAAATAAGGGGTGTCAAAGGGGTGGAACATGTATTTCAAACTTTTTGGTTTCTGTTGTTTTAAATTACGGCCCCCTCAAAAACCCCTAGGGGCACCCCTTGGTTTTCTTCGACATTTAAAAAATTTGAGGAAAAGGGGGAAAATTAAAATTCCCCCATAAAATTGGGATCTAAATTTCTTGATGTTTCTGCCTAATTCCTATATAAATGGAGGTAATTTTGCGATAAAGGTTCCCCTTTAAAGGGGGTTTCTTTTCCCCTTTTATATTTATGTTCCAATCAAAACATTTGGGTTTGGGATTTCTTTAGTAGATGTAAAAAAATGCCCCCTTCCCTTTACCAAAAACCCCGATTTAAATTTTTTAAAATTTTTCTGGTGTTTGATTTTGGAAAAACCAAATGAAATTTCAGATTGGAAGGGGGCTGAAAGGAACTCCCTTGAAGAAAAATTTAACCTTTCCCCGTAAAAGTACAAAATTTTTTGTTTTACCCAAACCTTTTGAAAAATTGGGTATATTTTTTTGCAAAACAATTTTTGTTTTTATGACACTGGACCAATGTAAAACCCTTTAAAAATTTCAGGCTTTTCAAATAAAAATAAGAAATATAGCCTTTTTAAAACATTTTTTGCCAATGGGTTTTAAGTTTTTTTTCCTTTAATGGAAAGGGATTTTTTTCACTTTTTCTTTCAACCCCATTTTCAAGGGGGAAGTATGGGGAGCCCCAAAAATATTCCCCCTAGCCAAATTTTCCCCCTGTTCAGGAAAAAGTAAAAACCCCGTTTCTTCCCCCCGCAAACATTTAAACCGCTAAGTAAAATTTTTTCCCCAAAATTATTCAAAAAAAATTAAATCTTTTCCCCCGGTTTCCAGAATTTGGAAATTCCCAAGGGGTTAAAAAAAAAAATGGAAAAACCTACAGTTTTTCAATTAACCTTTTAAAAATTTTTAAAAAAGAAAACCCTTTTTGCCCCAAAGGGGAAGGGAATCCCAAATGAATCCCAAAACTTTTAAGTAGCCCCTTTGGAAAAATTTTCTCAAATGCAGAAAATGATAAGGGAGCCCCTTTGAACCCGAATCAAAGCCCAATTTTTAAAAAAAAAATTTCCCCCCTTTTCAATAAACCCCCTGTGTTCAATTTAGTCCAAAAAAGCTTTTACAAAATTTAACTTGTTTGGCCCCACTTGAATTTATTTAAAAATGATTTTGGGTTCCGTTTCCCCCCTTTAAAATTTTCCAACCCCATTCTGGCCGGGCATCCTGAGGGTTATATTTCCCTTTTCCGTTTTAACCCCCTTTTTTTTAAAACCTCTGGTTATCTAGAAAAAATGGGAAATTTTTTGTTGTTATTGGTTTTGTTGTTGTGTTTTTTTGAAAAATTCTGTTTTTGTGTTTGTTTTCTTATTTAATTTTGTTTTTTGCTGTGCCTTTTTTGTTGTTGTACCCGCCCTTTGGGGTTTTTTTGTGTTTGGTTCCCAAAATTTTTTGTGTGAAAATTTACCTGAAATTTGAACCCCTTTGATTTTTAATTTTTTGAAGGGATCAAGTTAAAAAAGGAATTTATATTTGCTTTTATGTATCTTTAAAAAAATTGGGAAAGGTTTTGATTTCCTTTGGTTATTTTAGGAAAACCACTTAAAATTTTTAAAATTTTTGACAGTTGTTGTTTAAAAAAAGATTGCAGACCCTTTATTTTTAGTTTTATTGTATGCTTTGGGTTTATGGGAAGGACCCTTTGAGTAGGGGTTTTAATTTTGAAGGGCTCTTTTTTTTACTTTCCTTAACCCCTCCCAAACTAACAAAAAATTTTAGTCATCAAAGAGTCCCTAGTTGCCCCAGTCTGAAATTTCGATATCAGAATATAACCCCTTTTAAATTTATGGGCGCAAAAAATTATTTTCCCCCTTGGGTAAAACCTGGGGGTTGACCTTTTTTCAATAAAGACTGGGAAAAAAGGGGTTTTTTTTAATTGGGGTTGTTTTGTTTTAAAACTTTGGGATTTTTTTACTATTAAAGGGAAATGTGAAGTCAACAAAAATCTTCCCTTAGTTGAAGCCTCTGAAAACATAACAAATCAAGTGTTTCCTTTAAAATATTCTTGACGAGTTGCATTTTGAACCTTATGGTACTGTCATGACTAGCGTACCCCTTTTTAATTTGATGTCCCGTAATAATCTTGGAGAACAGTAGACTGAAGAGGCCGGAAAAAATGTACGGGCCTTTACTTTGTTGTTCTATATTCTCAACCTTTTTGTATTTTCAAGCCTATTCTCACTTTCTATCATTTCTTTGTATTTATTTCTTTTTTCTGACGCTAGCCCCACCGTAGCGTTCATAACAAGTTGGTGATTGCGGGCCGACGTACAATGTAGAATGTAGATGTAGAGAACACAGAATGCGGTCATATAATTGTGTTTCCCTATGGAAAAAACAATTAAACCTAGGTAGATTAAAAGCCCTTAAAAGGGTTGGAAATCCCAGGGTTTGGGTTTGCCCAACAAAAATTAGGAAAAAGGTAATTGATGAATGTATTCCCTCATAGTTTAGTTTAATTTCATATCCCTTATTATGAATTCTTTGATGTAAGGTCTCTTTACCAAAAGGGAATATACATTTATCAGTGTTTATTTACTTGTCTTCCAATGATGTCAAACATGTAAAATTATGAGAGGAATTATGCGGACCAAATTTATGTTTCAGATTTATAAATAATTAATTTATTATACAGAATACATGTATCTTGTTTGTGTTGAGCTGTAAAACACTACTCCTTATTGTGAAAGAAGTGGCTAGCCATACGGCTAGCCGAAAGTTCTAGCCGTACGTGACTCAAATACTCCATATAATTTTGAAAAGTGCCGTACGGCTAGCCAATACAGTGTGTCCTGGCTAGTCTTATGTGACTCACGTACGGCTAGAACTTTTGGCTAGCCGTACGGGCCCGAACGGCTAGCCACTTCCTATTGTGAATTTTTTTATAAACTTCCCTCTGAACTGTTTTAATTTCCCCAAAGTCACTGAGAAATTTGAAAAACAAATGATAAAACGTTGCTAAATTAAATCTTGCAACAATGCAATTTTTAGTAAGACATTACAGAATCCTACATGTACATTATATAAAAGACACAGTTTACACTAGGCTGCCAATACACACAGTCACAGTACTAATATTCAACATACATGAGGCAGCTAAAAATAGCTCTATATTGATTTATGCAATGTGTTATTATCACGGTTAAATGTAAATTACAATCCATGTGAAGTTTTTTTTGACAAAATATTTGTATACTTAAATGAAATAATTTGTTTCTTTCATTTTCTTACAGCAATGATTGATAGTGTAGGTGGGCCGGTGAGGGTCAACAATTTGGTTGTCAACACTAAATATACCAACAATTGGAAATAAAAACATGAAAAGAAATGGAGAGACGTGTTGGAAATATCATTGAGACAGCACTGGCTTCTATGTCGACAGAATCTGCTGCATAAGATCAAGGAAATGGAGTAAGACACATTTACATTTACAATGATATTTTCGAAATAACATGTAATTGAATTGGAAGAATTTCAAAAGTTATTTTGTAATTATATGTCTATGCAGCTTAAAATGGTATAATCCTATATTGCTGGCACACTCATGGTTTAGGGAACCAAAGAATATTATACAATCTATATATGAGAAAAGAATTTTTAAACAATGGCTTTGTTGTTTTTGCATGTTACTCTATATTCATGTACATATTTATTTTTTCAAAAAAACATGAATGTGTAATTGTTTTTTTTTAAAAAGTATTTATTTCTACATGACAAACTGGGTCCGCCTGGTCTCCTTGCCATTGGTACTTGTTGCTGGGTCATATGAGGGTTGCGTTCATAGAACGCCGCCTTTCCTTGTTAATCTTAATTGTTTATCATATTTTACCTTCATTGGTTTAAGACTAAAATTCATATTAAATACATGCATTCTTTTTAAGGGATGTGCATCATGAAGAATCAATGGTATCAGAACACAACATCATGGAAGATCTTATTGACAAGATCTTGGAGGATGTCCTTTGCCAGATGCCTCGCCAGCACTAAAGTAAGTACTGGTAGTTTGTTTTCTGTATTTTGTTTATTTACGAAAGTAAAGGACTATGCAAAACTGACTGGTGATGTTGAACTGTTTGTGTTATGTCTTGTTTGTTTGTTTGTTTCATTTTACGCCTTTTTCCAACAGTATTTCAGTCATATAGGCGGGTAGTTTCCTAACCATCGTTCCTGGAGAGTTACACCAGTACTAGACTACCTTCCTCCGCGCTAAACTACCAAAGCATCTCCCGGGGATCGAACCCACGCCAGAGAGGTAACTTGAATAGAAGTCATCGACTCTAACTCCTCGACCACGGAGGCGGTTTGTGTTATGTCAGTTGCTTCAATATATGAATATCTCTCCATATACTTGTTGTACATATGTATTTTTTTTATTCAAGGTCTAAGACTATTCATCAGTCAGGTGCTACAGTTACAAATGACAGTGAATGGTCAGATGTATACAATTGTGATTAACAATCCTCAACAATACATCAAACAAAAATGCCTATTAAACTGTAAGTTTAAATCTATGAGGTTTTTTATATATATTTATAATCATGGTGTAGCAATTAAATGATAATACTATGATAATTTTGTAATGCTATTTGGGGTCGTCTTCATTAGAAACAATTTGATATATCTTCATGTGATGAATAATCGATATGCAGTCCGAATTTTTTCATAAAAGTGATTACTAAAATTGGTCAGGAAAAAGTCGTGCAATAAGCATTAATAATTAACAAAACTTATTCTAGTAACTGTATGAACATTGTGTTACATTAATTATAAATAAGTTATTGTCAATTCATTGGTGTTCAATCTTCAATATTTGTCAATATTACGTTTAAAGATGAATTTTAAAATACAGAAAATATTTTTGAAATATATTTTTACAATTACAGTTCTCACAGACAGTCAAAGGTTGAAAACAAATCAGAAGTGGTCCACATCTTAAAAAACCTCACAGCAGATTAAGATTTTCCCCGAAATTTCCCTGTAAAACCCGCAGTGGTATGTCCAGTGCAGTAGATACTGCCTGGCACAAAAGAGGATTTGACAGTTTAACATGTAAGTAAAATAAGATTATTTTTATGCCCCCACAATGTGGGAGCATATAGCGTGGCACTTGTCAGTCTGTCCCAAAATCTTGTGAACGCAACTTCTCTAAACCGGATGGCAGATTTTGCTTAAACTTTCAGGGATGATCAACCTTCATGTGTAGTTGGTAGTAAAGGAATGAATTTTTGATGTAACCAAATTTAACAGAATTATGGCCCTTTTTTGATTTTTTCACTATATACTATGTAGAAATTTTGTGAAAGCAACTCCTCTTAAACCGGATGGCATATTTTGCTTAAACTTCCAGGGATTAACAAACTTAATGTGTAGATGGTAGTAAAGGAAGGAATTTTTGCTGCAACCAAATTTAACAGAATAATGGCCCTTTGTTGATTTTTAGTTTTCAATTTGTGGCACATGTAGTCCAAAAACTATTTGACCTAGAGTCATAAGATTGACAGAACAGTGGCGTGTGGGGGCATCCGTGTCCTATTGACACATTTCAAGTTTTTCTCAGTTATCATGTCAGTAATTATTTAAAATTTGTCAGAAAAGTATCTGTGTATATTTTAACCACTGTTATTGATGTATAATTGAAAAAGTGAGTTTTGCATACAAGTAAGACTGGTTAGTCAACATTGTTCTTTCAAACAGTGGCATGCATCATTTTTGTGTCGCCTCTACGGAGTAGTGGCAACATATAGGGATCATTTCTCCGTCGTCTGTCTATCTGTCCGTCCGTCACAAAACTTGTCCGGACTACTCCTCATAAACTACAGGTGCAATTTCATCCAAATACAGGAATGATCAGTACCAAGTCCAGTTGTGCAGTTTGTCAGCATTTTCCGGTTCAATGATTTTTGTCAGAGTTATGGCCTTTTAATAATTTTTAGCTCGACTATACGAAGTATATGGAGAGCTGTCCTACTCGCCCCGGCGTCGGCGTCCGCGTCAAGATTTTAGATTAAAGTTTTGGTGCAGTAAAATATTTTTCACTATAACTTTGTCATTTCTTAAGGTATCAACTTAAAACTTCAAATATATGTTCCTTATGATCAACCACATCTTATGTGACAAGGTTCATAACTCTAGCACCGATATTTTCAGATTTATCTCCCCTTGAACTTAGAATTTTCTTTAAAAAATATTATTGTTTTTTACTGTAACTTATTTTTTTCTAAAGGGATCACTTTCATACTTCAAATAAATGTACCTTATCATCATCCATATCTTATGTGACAAGGTTCATAACTCTAGCACCAATATTGCAAGAATTATCTCCCCATCAACTTAGATTTTTTTACTAGAAAAATGTTATTTTTTACTATAACTTTTTTAGTTTTAAAGGTATCTACCTCAAACTTCAAATACTTATTCCTTATAATCAATTATATTTTATGTGAGAATGTTCATAACTCTTGAAGTAAATTTTTACAGATTTATCTCTCTTTGAACTTAGGATTTTCTTTATGAAATATTATAACTTTGTTACTTTTTAAGGTATCTTCTTCAAACTTCAAATATATACTTCTTATCATTACATACATTTTGTGTGACAAGGTTCATAACTCTAGCATGACTATTTCTAGAATTATTTCCCTTGATCTTGGAATTTATTTTAACAAATGTTATTTTTTTACTGTAACTTAATACATAATTATACATAATTGATTTTTCTTTCATAGTTTTGTCCTCCTTACTGCCTCCAGTATTTTATTAGTCGAGCTTGGCTGTCTCCTGTGACAGCTCTTGTTATTTTTAAAGTTTGTCTGGACTACTTCTCTTATACCACTAATGCAATTTCAATGAAACTTTACAGGGTTGATCTGTAGCTTAAGTCCTTGTGCATATTGCACGGGTTTTCCGGTTGAATGGTTTTTGGCCGAGTTATGGCCCTTTGATAAAAAGGTGTTTTTTTCTGTGTGTTGCCAGATACACAAAAGCTTGTCCAGACTACTCCACATAAACTACTGGTGCAATTTCATCCAAACTTTACAGGAATGATCAGTACCAAGTCTAGTTGTGCATATTGACAGCATTTTCCGGTTCAATGATTGTTGTCAGAGGTATGGCCCTTTTTTAAGTTTGTCCGGACTACATCTCTTATACCACAAATGCAATTTCAATGAAACTTTACAGGATTGATCTGTTGCTCAAGTCCTTGCACATAATTGCACAGGTTTTCCGGTTAAATGATATTTTGGCAAGTTTGATGAAAAGGTGTTATTTTCTGTGTGTTGCCAGATACATAAAAGCTTGTCCGGACTACTCCTCAAAAACTACTGGTGCAATTTCATCCAAACTTTAAAGGAATGATCAGTACTAAGTCTAGTTGTGCACTGTCTGTCTGTCGGTCACAAAACTTGTCCCAACATGAAATTGGCCATCATGAGGCGACACATGTGATCACTGATTGCTCTTGTTTGTTATTTTGGTGTTTTTTTAACATGATACCTTGATTTTTGAACTAAGTTAGATAAACTTATAATATATGAGCCACTTGTCATTTGTAAATAAATCTAGGTTTTTCAATGCAAATACATATTCATCCCAACAGATCAAAATCAAGCCAGCAATAAATAATAATTGCCTTTGGTGTTTAATTTCTTCATTTGTAGGTGGGCTTTTGTAACAGATTACTGCCACTTTACTTCAAGGTGGGGTTTTGGGGTATCATTCACCTTCAGTGATAGTTCTAGTTTTATCCAGTATAAACATGGTAACATGTAAATGAAATATAAACCTTGTTTTTTTTCAGTGTACTGCACCAATAAACTAAATATGGAGAGTAGCTTAGTCACTAAAGCAGTCAACACCAAAATACACACAATGGCCAGGGCACTGAAACTTGGAAGAGTGAAAGAGTAAAGTAGTGCGTTTTTAGCTAACAAAGTGACATTGCGAGCTTTTGTCTATCTTTCGTCCCTAAACTTGATCTTTAAACAACATCTCATAAATTGCCAAGCCAATTTCATGCAAACTTACGATATTGTCTAGTCAGTTTTTGTTTTGCTTGCAATCGTTATATGACATGACTAAAGACATTTAGTTTTATTCTTAAGTTATTATGTTTATGTTTGTATAAGACCCAAATATATTGTTAAGTTTCATTTTACAAATTTGAAAGCCATTATTGTTCAAGTCAGTTTTTGTTTTGCTTGCAATCGTTATATTACATGGCTAAAGACATTTAGTTTTAATCTTTAATAGTTATGTCTATATTTGTATAAGACAAATAAATATTGTTAAGATTCATTTTTACAATTTTGAAAGCCATTATTGCTCTAGTCTGTTTTTGTTTTGCTTGCAATCGTTATATGACATGACTAAAGACATTTAGTTTAAATCTTTAGTTATTATGTCTATGAGGGGCGTTCTTGGCCGAGTGGTTAAGGTCATTGACTTCAAACCACTTGCCCCTCAACGCTGTGGGTTGGAATCCCGACAGGGACTTTGGATTCTTTCATGTGAGGAAGCTATCCAGCTAGCTTAACTGAACGTCAGTGGTTCTACTCAGATACCCGTTCGTGCCTGAAATAATGCAAGGAAGGGCACCTGAATGTCACAATATGACCTTTACTGTGTTGATGTGACGTAAAACCAAAAACAAGCAAACAAAAAATTATGTCTATGAAATTCGTTGTTTGTATAAGACCCAAAGATATTGTTGTGATTAATTTTAACAATTTTGAAAGCCATAATTGTTCGTGTCAGATATTGTTTTGCTCACAATCATAATGTTATATGACATGAGTTTAAATCTGAAGGTATTATGTCCATGAAATATGTTGTTTGTTTAAGACCAAAATATATTTTTGAGATTCAATTTTACAATTTTAAAGCCATTATTGGTCAAGTCTGTTTTTGCATAACACATAACGCTATTGTTAGTATTTATTGTTATTAATAGTGATTTGTCTAAGTGGATGTCGAAGTATGTATGTTATTCCATGCTAGTTCATGTTTGAATGAAACTTTTTGTCCAGATAGAAGATTTCAAACTGTAACTTTTCTGATTTTTAGCTTTTACAACAATATTATATTTCCCATTTTTGGTGTTAAGAAATACTGCAACATGTGCTGAATAATAGCTATTGTCAAACATTGTTTATATGCTCCCCGAAAAATTTCGGCGAACCATATAGTCATCGGGTTGTCCGTCGTTTGTCTGTACGTACATACAAACCCGAATTCGTGTCCAGCCCATAACTTTGTTATTTCAAGTTGGATTTTAAAACAATTTCACAGAAATGATCACCATATTGAGACGACATGTCGCATGCAACATTTGGGTCGCTACCTTGAAGGTCAAGGTCACACCATGACCTTGAACAAAATCATGTCCGGCCCATAACTTCGTTATTTGAAGTCGGATTTTAAAGCTATTTAAAAGTAATGATCACCATAATGAGACGATGTGTCGTGCGCAGCATTTGGGTCGTTACCTTGAAGGTCAAGGTCACAGCATGACCTTGAACAAAAATTGTGTTCGGCCCATAACTTGGTTATTTGATGTCAGATTTTACAACTATTTCACAGAAATGATCACCATATTGAGACGATGTGTCGCACACACCATTTGGGTCAATACCTTGAAGGTCAAGGTCGCAACATGACATTGAAGCAAAATCGTGTCCGGCCCATAAATTCGTTATTTGAAGTCGGATTTTACAACTATTTCACCGAAATGATCACCATATTGAGACGATATGTCACACGCAACATTTGGGTCATTACCTTGAAGGTCTAGGTCACAGCATGACCTTGAAGCAAAAATGTGTCTGGCCCATAACGTCGTTATTTAAAATGGGATTTTACAATTATTTTGGAATTATCACACTTTGAACTTTGTCTGGGACATAACCCTGAAACATCAAAAGATATACTTTTCTGTATCTAAATCCTAGTCGGGGAGGATCACCCCGGTTCAACCGGCTCTTGTTTTAATTGATTATTAAGTAATATGAACAATTCATGATAGCATCATAACTAAAGAGTGGAAATTTATGAAAGTCAAATATGTATAGAATCAGTTGCTAATAAAATGTGTGTAAAATTTATCTCTTTTTGGGAATTAATTTCTTTATTTTACAAATTTATCAAATTTCATTTTATTCTACTGATATGTTTGTAATATATCTTTTATTTTCTATTGAAAAAATGTGTTAAACCAATATGTATTTGTTTTCTTATAATTCAGCTAGTTTTAACTATTCCAATGTTTGAAAAAATTGTTCGCCAGAACTTTACCAAAATGTTCGCCAAAATATCGCCATAACATATTTGCTGAAACTGGCAAATATGCAAATGAAGTTTGCCGCAGTGTTACCAAAAGCTTCTGGCGAACATCCGCAAACTTACTATGCAAATGAAGTTTGCTGCAAATTTGCCGCAAACTTTTGGCGAACATCTGCAAACTTTTACCATGCAAATGAGGTTTGCAGTAAATTTGCCGCAAACAGAAGCTACCTCCCCCTATAGTTAGCGGCAAATTTGCCGCTAACCTCATTAGTTGCGGCAAATTTGCCGCAAACCTCATTTGCATGGTAAATAATTGCTGAAGCAGTTTACCGCAAACTCACCGCAATGTTTGCGGCAAACTTGCTGCAATTTACACCAGAGAGCCCTTTTTTGGTAAGGGTAGATTTATTTCCTTCTTTAGACATATTATTGACTTGAATCCACTTTTTTTAGTATCAGTAGACTATAAAGTATCTTAAAATATAGCACTATGCTATCAAATAGTAATCACAGCTTTATGTAATTACAGCTATGTACTAATATCAATATAACACTCTGTAATATATAATGAACTCCTGTAAATATGGGTCAATATTGGATAATATAGGGCAAACTTCCAAATTAAAAAAAATCAATATATTTAAAACACAAAAAGTAATTGTTTTTTTTTACACTATTTTGGTGTACAAACTATTTCCTGTTATTATTACACCCTTTTTTATTTATTAAACCTTAATTTCCAACTTTTATATCAATCATACTCCAAATATTGTCACATCAAAATAAAGAATTGCCTTAGAACTAGATCAAAATAGCGTGGGAAAATATTTGTAACATACGTCATTTTTTTTTCTACAAACTAGGTCAATTGATCTATTCAATACCTGTATCTATAGTCCGTTTTACACAAACGGTCAAAAACACGATCAAATAAACCGAATCCGACAAAAAATAAAACCAAACACGATATTTTTCTCGGTTACCATTTCAATCTTCATTCATACCGTGAGTGCATTTATTGTATTAGTATGGAAGTGGTTTGGGAGAGAGTTTGGGAAAAATTGGACACGGACTAAGTACATCTAATACAAATTATTGGTTACTGTTGACCACCAGGTCAAATCAACTTTGCTTAGATTCTATGCTAAACGGTTTCTAAACCATGATATGTACACAAACACAAAATTCAACACAAACATCTATATGTACAGACAATATTTGTAACAACTGTATAAAAAAAATACTTCTTACTTGCGCAATATATTCACTCAAAAATAAAATGTGTACTAGATATTGTAAACGAACCTAACTTTCTGTTTGTCAGTTTAAAACAATAAAACTTTACTGTTAAATGATATATGTAAGTTTGTCAAATGATAAAAAAGAAATAGCAAAAATTTAATATAGATGTCATGAAAACAAGCAAACAAAAATATTCGTAGGAAAGAAAAATCATCTTATATCAAAAAATTACATGTACTGTACTGAAACGAATAATGCCTAACTGAAGATAACCTAACTTTGATGTAAATAAACTGTACAGTATACAAGTAGATTCTAATAATTTAACTACCGAAGTGACAAAAATAATTATATAGAAAGAGTTCTTACATTACATCCTTAATCCAATAAAATATACACACTTTTCACTATAAAACACATACGAGGTATGTTCAAAAAGTTCGTGGATTTTTGCTGTCATTTTTTACTTGGTTCATAAAAACACCCTTCCCGTTAGTGGATATGAATCGAAAGAGTGTCTTTATTTTCAAAAGTAAGATTTACTTTTATTGTTAACTTTTATTTCCTTTACGAGTAATGTGCACTTTAATAACCATGGCAACGCAACATCGGCGCACGCCGAAATTTTCATATAATGTTTAAATATAAACAAATGTTGAAACAAATTAAATGATTGTTTTATGAAGTTAAATACAAGTAATCATCTATTAATATTAAATAGAGGATATTTGTTTGTTTGCGTGTAAGATGAAATTTTATTTCATCGAGTGGGCTTTAAAAACAGTATTCTCACGAGTGGCGTAGCCACGAGTGAGAATACTGTTTTTAAAGTTCACGAGATGAAATAAAATTACATCTTACACAACAAACAGACAAATTTTCTTTTTATTTTATGCTTTAAAACAAGTTAAAACGAAATTTCCATAATTTTAACGTTAATATTAAAATCTGTTTCCTCCATTGAGAGCCCCGTTCAGAGGGAATTTCTCATTAAAAACAAGAAGTCTTGAGCTGAGAAATAAGTCCGCCAATCAAGGTTAAATGACGGTGATATTTATTCATTTTATTTAAAAAATATGAATGATCGCTTGTTTTAATAATAAAAACAAACAATTCTTGTAGGAGAAGAAGTCCAACCATCCATCCATATTTCTGTTACTTACTGCGAATTTATATTAGACCTGGCTTTGTAAAATGTAAGCGGCAGCCATTTTTTAAAGTTGTGTATTTCATGGGAGGAAAATAATTGTGTAAGATTCAGAAGGATATAATTTGGATTCGTTAGTCATACACCTTTTTAAAAGAAAGAAAACTTATTTGAGGATTGTAACAGACAAAAAATAAGTGTTGACAGAAGTGAAAACATTCAGAAAAGGAGCTAGGAAAATGGAAAACTTGGAAGCTTGCTAAGGCAATGTAAGGCATTGTAAGGAACGCTGGGTTTTTTAACTTATTTTACGAGTGATGGCTGTCAATGCTTTTCAATTTTTCATAAAGCATACGGCAGTTATTGCTCGTAGGATACTTTAATATGCCCAAATGTCATCAAGAGCACTTTAGCATGGGGAAGGAATGTATTTTTCAGACTGTAAAAACGAAACAAAAAAATTTAGAGA